GCTGTTAATGTCTGGAATGTGGCTGCAGCTGAACAGATGTTTGTAAATAGGGTTCATCAGGGCTGAGCGTGCATTAGCAGAAACTTGCTTTTTGTGCAAGTCATGACCTCTGATAATCTACCTTACATATGGTTACCAGCCTCTACACTATCACTCACCATATTACTGTTCTGTAATTGAGATTACAATGATCTATTACCGCATACATCTTATTACCATACTGATATTTTGCACATAAGCATCCATACTGCAGTGCTCGATGTGGAGGATTACATTAACTACATTATGATGTACAAATGCCCTGCAGCAGTCTGGCATCCCGTTAAGGGTGTACCTTGCTCTGAGCCATTCCTTGCACAGGACAGGCTTTGGCTCCCCCACGACCCTAAATTGGATGCAGCAGGCAGAAAAGGGACGGATGAATTTGAACAAATTCACAAACCATCCCAAGAATGTCATCATTTCTAGATAGGGAGCAACACCTGTGGCACCATTACACGTTTCTACATTTGAAATGGAGCAAAACACCAGCCCTGCATTTAAACTCTATTGACATTACCCGGTAATAGCACAAGTACAACAACTGGATTTTACAATAAGATAAGGTTAAAAAGAGCCAAGCAAGCTAGGCGTTTCAAAGTTCAAAAGGCAGTCAGCTTCATTTTAAAACCACCTGCATGTCCCAAAGCACAACTCTGTCAGTAAGAGGAATCTGCTTCTTGGCAGAAGAATACTTTAAGAGGGACATCCACTACTAGATCTACACACACAGATCTCTTAGATTGGTACGTATAGTAATTATAATTTGAACTGCCCAACTGTCAAAGCAATACCACTAAGTGACAAGACAATTTGGTATTTCATCCCATCAAGGAAAAGTGTTTCTCCTCTTAAAAATGTAATATGTTCATTCACACAAAAAAAAAACACAGAAGTTAACATAGCTTGAAGAAATTCCAGTCTGGGCCCTTAGAGAGGTAACTTGCCATCAACATCAGTGGACCACTTTAACAACTAGTTAAAGTGTATCTACAAGAAGGCTACAGTACTTAAAACTAGTTAAAGGCCAAACAACTCTGATGTAGTGGTTTTACACTCTTAAATATAGCAAATGTTAATGCAATACGAAAATATATTAGAAAACATTTGCCGTACAAGTCAAGCGAAACTTGTGCACAGACAAATGGAAAAAAGCATCCGCTTACAAAGATGGAAGCGTATGTTTGAAGTGAACACTACTCTCACATCAATTGAGAAACCCCGACACTAAACCAGTCATACCTTGTCTTGCATTTGCTTTACAGAGGGTCTGACACAGATATATGGGGCACACTACAAGAGACGTATAGGTGTGGGGGGAGAAGAACTGAAGACTTTCTTGATGCCTGATGGTGCTCATTTTTTTTTAGAACTGGGCTCTGAAACAACAGTTACAAATATCAGGGGCGCAATGTAGATTACTGAGCAAAATACGTACATACGAACATTACCAAAAAACTGCAAAAGAAGCAATGGGCCTTAACACCATCTTCTGTAACAGACTTAGTGTTAAGTGATCCCCATTACATAAGCAAATCTAAAACATAGCAAAGAATGTCTTCTTTTTGTACAACTGTGCTGCACACTGAGTCATCACCAGGGTGGTGCAGATGAGATAATACGCAATTAGAAAGCGTGTGAGTACTACATGCAGCACTGGCACTGAAACGTCATCTCTAAACGTGAACGATGGCCAGCTGACACATCAGTGGGAATTGGGTTCTACAACACGTTCGATTGGAGCTTTGAAATAAACATATCTGTACGGTGTTAAGGCCAGGCCAAACCACAGCATAAAGTAAAATATACCAAAAGCCTTAAACGATGTGGACCTTACAACAGAACCTCCATTTTTCAAAACCCCTCAGTCTGTTTAAAAAAAATGATTCCCCCTTAAATCCCAAACGCTTGAACAGGCAGAGACAATGCTTGTCCCCAGTCTTGTTCTTTTGAGAACATGTGTAGTTGCCCTTCGCTCTCCTATATTCGTCCTCATTCTCTCCCCTTACACTCTGCACGGTACTCAAAGCACCTTCTGAAATTGCACCCACATTTCCGGCCCTCTCTTTCTGCCTTGGAAACATCATGTTTAGGTAAAACGTAATGTTAGAGGTTAGTGGAAGTTATTACCCCATTTACAGAGACTGCCTGTTATGTAATTCATTTCTTTACTGCGCAGGTTACCACATTAAATTCCAGTAATTTGTATTTTCTTACTGTTACACTACATAGTTTTCTTAGTTACCAAGGAGTTTAGAATGTACAATTGTATTACTGACGTTATCCTTCAGGTAAAATATTGATATCTCCATCTATAGATAGGCAGCACAGTCGAACAGCAGTTAGCACTGCTGCCCCTTGACTCCTGGCCCCAGAGTTCACTTCTGGACTGGGGTGGATTCTGCGTGTAGATTCACGTTCTCTCGCAGTCGGGTGTTCAAGTTTCCTCCCTCAGCCCACTGATGTGTGTGCATGTGTGTGCGTGTACACAGTGCAGCAAACCAGCAGCCCATCCAGGGTGCAGCCCCACCTTGTGGACTATCTACAGGACCCGATGAACAGAGGGCACGCCTAACTCCCTTTCATGGAGCTGGGCAATGCACGGCATGAATGTGCTCGCACCGGTATGATGCTGAGCGACCACCTGCCACCTGCTCTAGCGAACAGAAAAAGAACCACCTTTCTCATACAATTCCCCCTAGCTTTTACCAGTCACGGCCTCCTAATAATCCCCATCTATGAATTGGCTTCATCACTCTGCTCTCCTCCCCTCGAGGTGTGGGGAGCATACTGGCGCACTATGGCTGCCGTCTCATCATCCAGGTGGGGGCTGCACATTGGTGGTGGTGGAGGGGAGCCCCCATTACCTGTAAGGCGCTGTGAGTGGAGTGTCCAGAAAGTCTCTATATAAGGAATTATTATTATTATTATTATTATTATCCCTCCATCCATTTTCTAGCTGTTTTATCCAACATAGGCTTGCAGGGGAACTGGAGTCTATTCCAGCAAGAGGTACAAGCCAGTAGAGACCCTGATCACGACACAAACACACCCCCACCCACACCAGTGCCTTTTTTTGTCAGAAGCCAATTAAACCACCACAGTGTCTTAGGACTGCTGGAGAAAACTGGAGCACTTGGGGGAAACCCAAGTGAGCATGGGGAGAACGTACAAACATCTCCACACAGATGGGTGTTTCCAGGAATGGAGCCCAGGGCTCCAGTACTATGCGACAGCAATGCTAACCAATGCGCCACCGTGCCCCCATCTTTGCGATAATGTTGACCAAATTCTTTTCAACGGTTGTTTCTTCTTTTGTGCAGCATGAAAAGAACATTCCAATTGCGTAAACATATAGCCTTGTCTCACTGTTATATCACGTCAACGTTCCTGAACTTCCAGCTTCTAAAGCTTAGGCACACAAATTATACACACAATGTACACAATTCAACATGTACACCCCCCCAAAAAAAAACGGTCTCGGCCGCTCTTGCCAACAGTCATCATAGACCCTTAACAATATTTCATCTTTAATGCCCACATTACATCTCCTCCCTTGTTGAAAATGATAGCTGGAAAACAGATCCCCTAGCAGAAGATACCAGGGATTCCCCGTGCACAAAGCACCACTCACAGAAACGACAAAGCACCGATGAAAAATGTCTGAAGAAGTTTTAGTCCCGTACATACTCTGTTTCTCATTTCAGATTCAAAGCGCTAGGAAATGAGTCAAATGGTAAAGGTGAGGACAACTGATTTCAAGCAATTATTAAGTAACTCCCTTTCCACAACTCTATACAAAGGGGGGAGGTTTCTGTTCTCTTAAGCTTTCGAAAACGAAATGTACCAACCCTGTTCTCGCCACTGGCATCCTCCTGTGCCCTCCCTGAGTCATCAAGCAGAGGGCAATTCTTACACTGGGCGTTTTAAGGAATTCAGTACGCTGAAGTTCTGATCCCGACCTCCCCTGTCGGAATCACCCAAACGTGGCATGAAAACAGTTTCACGGGGCGAATGAAGTCCGCAGACATCTGCGCAAACCGAAAACGTGTCGCCTGCCCCCAATACTGTCCGTCTTTTTTTACCCCAAACTACGGAGACTGGCTGTCACCCGGCATATGCGTTGCCACATCCAGGAGTTCGGGGAGGGGGGGAGTCTGTGATTTCCAACACCTCATTCTCCCCTTTTCTGATGTATTTTCATGTTACTGCGGAACCGACACAATTTACTCTCACTTCCAAATAAGCCCGGTTAGAAGTCCTTTCTTTCCTTCGCTCCGTCTTTCTCGATTTCAACCCCCCTCCTAACCATCCTCTTCATAACATGACAGGTTAAAGCATTTTTTTAGCCAAGACAGTATCATGTTAAGTGTTTTTTTTTTTTTGTAGGGATATCCCGTCTGGACGTATATTATAAGGCTGGTAAAGTTAAAGGCAAAACCGTGTTGCTGTCAGCATTCCCAGGCCCCGGAGAAGCCTGCGGCTGGATTAGGAAGCGCTGCCAGCTCAGATCGAAGCACGAAAGGAGAAGAAACAGCTACCAATTTCCGCCGACTGCAACGACCGAGTACACAGGGAATAACAGTTGGTTGTTACTGTCTACCTACAGCTCGGAGACACCTGTGAACTCGCTAAATCTGCATGCTTAACTTCCACGGTGGCTAAATTAACACAACATGCCAGCACGGGAGAGAAGCTACGGTAAATTAACACAGCACCGGGGCACGTTAAGAGACATCTCGGTTAGGTCGCTGTGGGTACTGTAAACTACCAATTCATAAAAACCTAGCTTAAAATATCAGCAGAACAATTGCGACCGCATTCGCTAAAACAAGCATTACACTGTAGCGATTTAACAGCTGAAACAGCAACACCGAGACAGATCTAGACAGCTCGCTAGCTAGCAAAATAGTTGAGGGGCTCACAAAGATTTTACATTGGGGGGAAAAAACCCGACTAACCTTCTTTGTTGGCCTGTGCTGCATGGAAAAATGCAATAAATAAAAACCGGAGAACTCCGAGGCTTGTTGTTTTCGTTCCCATTGATAAATGGGGAAGAATCAGATCTTTTTCCCAGCTCGCCATGCTGCTGTGTCGGTTTCACTGTGTGAAGCTCCTGGCCGCTTGCAGTCTCATATAAACACGGTTAACTGGGACGTGCGACACGGCGCGGCCTACACGTGGTACTGCAGCCGAAGCGGTGTCTACAGCAAATACCGACCACCTCACTTCCGACTTCAGCGGAGCTAAGAGTCATTCCCTCATTTCTTCTTACACCGTAGATCGCCCCCCGTGGAAGCTAATCGGATCCTGGATACAGCGGAATCCAGAATCCAGGTGCATTGCACAGCTGATAAGACACTTTTGGGTTAAAGTGTATTTTGTATTGTGTTAGTAACAGATTTGCAAAGCATCTGAGCAGTAGAAACACTCCACACAAAAACCTGAATGGAGCTTCCATTGCTGAGCGCTCTGTAATGAACTTCAAAATGCAAAGATAAATGACATGCAATCTAAAGAATCATTTATTGTAATTCATCTTCTCTAGAACACAGACCTGCTAAGCAGCGCAAAAAATGATTTTGTACTTTTTATTGTTTTATTTTTTTTTCATTTGAGCGATTTTTATTCATAATTGTCTAACCTTAAGTATATTTGCTTTTATTCAGCTTGTTGCAATCATATCGTAAAAGACGGTACTGTGTTACCATCGTAAAATAGCAATAAGGGAACAACTCGAAATGGACGTGCAGCACAAATTTGAATAACCGAATAAAATTTGCATATGTTTTTTCGCTAAGAGGGTTTATGAATGGCCTTTCGTCTTTTTTATGTATTGCTACCTGAAGAGAGTCAACACACTCACAATTCTGTGACAAGTCCTCATAAATTTCTAATATTTTACAAAAATTATACTCGGTGGTGTAAATTATACTATACTGTAGCAATGAGAAAGAACAAGCCACAAAAAAAACATTAATAAGTATTTAAAACGAACTTTCGTAGGTCAATTGTTTAACCCCTGTCACTTTATTGGTAGATAAACCTGCAAAAAAACTTTCCTGGGCGTATAGGCTGCAATTAAAGCATTGAAATTTGAAGAGCTTTGAAGAGGCTGTCCTAGTACAACCATTAGTTGGAAAACGTTATTAAGATTGAAAGCTAGAAACTATTCAGGCTTCAGTGTTAGAATGTAACGATTTAAAAGCTGTGAAGACTATAAAGCCCGTCTTTATTAAGAATTTACACATCGGTGTCTTAAAATTAACCAACAGGGTTTTCCTAAATATTGATTCCTGTTACACACGGTTACTCTATTCCTTTAACAACGTTACAGCATTGGGAGCTGACAATATTTCATGTGCATACTTTATTTTAACATGCAGAGCATCAATATCCATCCTCTTCTTTTCTCACAATGGCCAAGACTCAGAGCTCTAGGCTATCAATGTTGCTGCTGAATTAAATAATCAAGTCTTTTTTATTAAAAATTTTTAAATGACTACACCGGCCCCAAAGCTTAAATGTCAGGTGACTGAATCCTATAAATGAAACATTGGCGTCGAAAATTAGAGTAATAGTAAATGTTGACGCTGAATTAAATAATCAAGTGTTAAAGGGTGAGGATGTCGGTTTCACGTTGTTTTCCCTGCTTTACCTTGGTTTATAATGTGTGTTACTGTATTATACACTACAGTAGATGTTTTAGTTGGTTTTTATCATAACATTTCAAAGTTATTTTCTATTAAGATCAGCACACAGAGGAAGATACAGTACATTCTAACTGCAAATGTACCGAACTAAACTATTTACTCTGTCAATCACATGAGTGTTTTGTTTAAACACAACACACTTTAGGGAATGAATTTACATACAGATGCTGTCATTTGGAGTTTCATGCCACAGTGCAAATATTTAAACATAAAACTTTAGAAAGCTGATGATACAGTTCCATATACAGTGCCTACTGCATCCCATTTCGTGACATTACAAAATGATGCACACAAACGTTTTCAGACTTAAATGAAAGTCCTGAATGTTCAAATCCTGAATGTTCAAACTGAATACTTGTAAGGATAAGATAAATTACAGTAATTGTCAGCAAAAACTTCAGGGGAAAAAAAACTGAAATATGTTGATTGTACAAGTAATCTGAACAATTTACTCAATATTTGATGAAAGCACCTTAGGCAGCAATTACAGTAACACTACTTTTTGAGTAAGTTTCTACTAACTTTGCATGACAGCTTTGTGCAATATTTGCTCATTCATCCTGGCAGAGTTGCTCCAGCTCTCCCGAGGTGCTTGGGGATGGCTTATGAACAGCAGTTTCAAGTCTTTACAAGAGTGCCAACAGGTTTCAGATCAAGACTTTAGTTGGACCTTTCTTATTCTTAAGCCACTTCAGCATGGGATTGCCCTAGTGTTTTGAATCATTGTCCTGTTGAATTTTTGTTCCAGTTTTAGGTGTGTAGCAGGTTTTACCCTTAGATCCCAAGTACATACATGTAGTTCCATCTCTGTTTGATTCGCACTAGACAAGCTTCTCAGTCCCTGCTGTCCAGAAGGAGAATTATAATATAATGTTGCCACCACATAAGGTTTGTCAGTAAAGATGGAATTGACCAACTGTTACACTTTTAGGTTTTGCACCAGATGTAATACTTTATTTAGATGAAAAGATTGCAATTTTGTCTTGTCTGACCACAAACCTGTTTGCTACACTTAAGTGCTTAGTTACAAACTCCATGCAGGATTTGAGATGGGTTTTCCACTCTGCTATACAGGTGAACTTTGTGGGTTGACTTGGATATTGTTGACTTATGCACTTTTTCTTCCATGTGTGCCTTTTAAACTCAGAAGCTCTTTCAAAGTCACTCTTGGCCCTACAGTGGCATCCCTAACCAGTTTCTTCCTTGCCTAGGAGCCCAGTTTGCAGGGACTCTATGTGTCTTTGCACAACTTTATCCCTGAGTTATTTAGAAAGCTCCTTGTTCTTGAGTTTTTGTTTAAAATTCATTTTCTGACTAAGGGACTTCACAATAGCAGGTGTGTTAATTCTGAAATCATGTGAACCATTATTATAGCACAAATGGCCCACTCAACTAATGGTGTGACTAATTAAGGTACATTTGTGCATTATGTCCTACTGCTAGAAAGCACCATGCTTCTCCAATGCAAAAATTATGTTGGTAAATAAAAGTTGGTCTGCTTATAGCTATGATCTGTAAGGAATTTGAAAAACACTTAAAATACAGGAAAAGGGGGCACCTTAGAAAACCAAAACATGTACAGAATGTGCAATTTTAGAAGAATGTTATAAATGTGCTTATGAAATACAGAGCTTGTAAACAGACTGACT